AAAAAAAAAAAAAAAAAGAATCATCATCTAGACACAGACCTTACACTCTTCACAAAAAGAAAAACTCAAAAGGGATCACAGCCCTAAATGTAAAATGCAAAACTGTAAAACTCCTAGAAGATAACATAGGAAAAAACCTACATGATCTTGAGTATGGCAATGTGTTTTTAGATACAACACGAAGGCACCATCCATGAAAGAAAGAATCAATAGGCGGGACTTCATTAAAACTAAAAATTTCTGCTCTGTGAAGGACAATATCAAGGGAATGAGAAAACAAGCTACAGACTGCGAGAAAATGTTTACAAAAGATACATCTGAAAAGGGATTGTTACACAAAATACACAATGAACTCTCAAACTCAACAATAAGAAAACAATTTAATTAAAAAATGGGCAAAAGACCTTAACAGACACCTCACCAAAGAAGAAATACAGATGGCAAATAAGCATATGAAAAGATGCTCCACATCATATTTCATCAGGAAAATGCGAACTAAAACAGCAATGAGATATCACTACACGCCTATTAGAATGGCCAAAATCTGGAACACAGACAACATCAAATGCCAGTGAGGATGTGGAACAACAGGAACACTCATTCATTGCTGGTGGGAAAGCAAAATGGCACAGCCACTTTGGAAGACAGTTTGGCAGTTCCTTACAAAACTAAACATATTCTTACCACAGGATCCAGCAATTGTGCTCCTTGGTATTTATCCGAAGGAGTTGAAACCTTAATGTCTACACAAAAACTTGCACATGGATGTTTATAGTGGCTTTATTCATAATTGCCAAAACTTGGAATCAACTAAGATGTCCTTCAATAGGTGAACAGATAAACTGTGGTACATCCAGACAATAGAATATTATTCAATGCTAAAAAGAAATGTGCTGTCAAGCCATGAGAAGACATGGAAGAACCTTAAATGCATATGACTAAGGAAAAGAACTCAATCTGAATAGGCTACATCCTGTATGATTCGAACTATCGGACATTCTGGAAAAGGCAAACCTACGGAGACTGTAAAAAGATCAGTGGTTACCAGGGGCTGGGGGAGGAGGATGAAGAGGCAGAGCACAGAGGATTTTTAGGATGCTGCAAATATTCTGTACGATGCTATAATGATGGAAACATGCCATTATGACATGCCAAACCTATAGATTGTACAACACCAAGAATGAACCCTAAGGTAAACTATGTACTTGGGTGATTATGATGTGCCACTGTGGGTTCATCAATTGTAACTATTGTACCACTCTGGTGGGGGATGTTAACAATGTGGGAGGCTGTGCATGTGTGGGGACAGGGAGTAAACGGAAAACCTCTGTAATTTCCTCTCAATTTTCCTGTCATCCTAAAACTGCTCTAAAAAATAAAGCACTTAAATTTTTTTTAAACTGTGTTTTATGACTCATATGTTCTGTTTTATTATGACATTCTCACAAAAACTCTGCAAGGTAGTTGCATTTATCTAAAGCATATTTTTACAAATGAGGGAAGTGATGCTCAGAGATGTTAAGTAATTTCCCCAGTATCACAGAGGTCATGAGTGGTGCAGCCTGGGCTAGAATTTAGGTTTGTCTGACATTAAGTGTATGTTCTTTCTAATTTTCCAGGAGTCAGCAAACTACAGCTTATGGGTCAAATCAACTCACCTCCTGTCTTGGTAAATAAAGTTTCATTGGGGCCGGCCCAGAAGGATGTGCAACTATGACATACAACTATCTACTTTGGCTTTGGGGAAAAAAAAAGGAGGAGGATTGGCAATAGATGTTAGCTCAGAGCCAGTCTTCCTCAGCAAAAAGAGGAGGATTAGCATGGATGTTAGCTCAGGGCTGATCTCCCTCACAAAAATAAATAAATAAAGTTTCACTGAAGCACAGTCACACTACTACTGTCTCTGGCTGCTTTCACACTGCAGAAGCAGAGCTGAGCAGCTGAGACAAAGACATCATGGCCTAAAATACTTACTGCCTAGCCCTTTACAGAAAGTCTGCCAACACCTGAACTATCACAGCGTCTTCTCACTGTCACTTACCCTAAATCCTGCGTCTGAGTTCAACTTTTAATTAGACGTCAGAACATAACCAATAAATAATTTATAGAACATACTGTATGTTAAATACCATGATAGATATTGAAGATGATTTTTTAAAAATGTGACACATGAACAAATTACAATTTTATATAATAATCTCAGAGCAGAGAGAAATAACCTCTGAAAAATAAAATCATTTTATTTGCCCAAACTCATAATTGACAATGAAAAGAAAAAGTTTTCCAGACATAAAATCTGTTTATTCCCTGGAAAAGAGCAGTGTATTAAATTAATATAAGGAATTTCTGGACTTAGCACAAACTAATGAAATGAATATCAGCATCCTAAAAAAATCTTTAAAGTTACTAAGTTATAAAGTAACTGAAATCAAAGAATAGTTGCAAGCACACACTTGCACAACATGGAAAACAGGACAAATATAAAGATATAGATTATCTGCATGTCACTGATTCAGTAGTTCAAATTCCATCTAAAAAGTTATCATTCACACTTCACAAAAACACTTGAAATTAACTCATCAATTTTCTTCCTCTTGTAAAACACTTTGATGATTTTCTGAAAAAATGTTTTAAGATAGAGAAAGAGTAATCTAACTGAAGATTTGTAAGATCAAGTCAACCTAAAAAGAGTCTATGAACAGTGAGAACAAAACAATACAAGAAGCATTCATAAAAATCATTCCAAGTATACCCTTTCTCCTGCCCATCTACGGTGGAGAGAGAGTGTAGCTTCCTTTCACCCCACAGACGTGGGCATAGCACCCTATGGTACCCAACGTGCCCCTCCTGCACCTTCCTGCTCATCCGGTGGCTGCTGCTGCTACAGCTGCCACCAGAGAACCTGGCAGAGCTCAGAGGAGCAGGAAGAAATAGGAGAGGCAGAATAGGCAGTGGGTGAGTGTGTGTGAGTGTATCCTTGTGGAGAGCGTGTGTATATCTGTTTGTCTATTTCTTCGCTAAAGAATTTGAAGTGGTTTGTAAAATAACATCCAACCTAACACAGTTCAAGATAAAGAAAAGATAGTCAGGGTCTGCATGAATACCCCCACGTGGGAATTTAGGAACAAGTAGAAAGGATAAGCATCAATCTCATTATTTATTGTGTGTGTCATTTAATAAAGGAGCTATATAAATGTCTCCGAGATATTAGTAGCAGCCTTCAATCACTTTCTTGAGCTCTTAGACCCCAGCGTACCAAGTGGTCACAAGAAGTAACTCCACCAAAGACTTTTCTGTTCTTTCCTTTATAGGGTCACAGTAGGTCTCTTTTTACATATCCCAGGGCCATACCAAAGTTTAAAATAAGAATACACTAAAATTATCAAATATTATTCATGAGGACAAAAAAAAAACAAAGGCTCATGCACGATTTTGATTAAGAATAGTCTTGATTATTTTTAAAAGATTGAGTTCTAAAAAGTGTCCTTTGAAATATAGTCACTTAGCACAGAAACATTTATTAAAAAAACAAAGTCCTAAGTATTACTGCAAAATTAATCTGGAAAAACAAAAGATTAGCCCCACTTTTTACTATTAGCTCAAATATACACATTCACCTACCCACACATACCTCTGACTCAGTCCATCTTTTTGACAAGTGATAATACAAAAGTGAATCAAGGGAGAAATACCAGCATTTAGAGTATCAATCATCCTAACCCATCAGCCATAAATAAACATGAAAATGACATTTGGGGCTTACCTACCTACATAGAGAACGCCCTCTTTGGTCTTTCCTGCTGCCTCTGCCACACCCTGTTTGGTTTTTTCAGCAGCAGCCACAACTCCTTCCTTGGCCTTTGAAAGTCCCTTCTTGATTACATCCATGGCTAATGAATTCCTTTACACCACACCACACTGGAGAATACAAAATACACTTTGAACGAGAATTCTTGCGTAAAACAAAACGAAATTAGAAGTACCCAAGGTGAAACCCACGGAAAGATCAGTAGAACAAAAGTTCGAGACTCTTTTAAGTGCACCCTTACTTCAGCCATTGGACAAAGAAGCCTTTTTTAGCTTTTGCATTAAAAATTTAGCATCCCCCATCCATCTTGGCTGGTAAAAGTCTAGTCCCCTAAACACGGATTAGAATGAATCACCGGAGCTGTTCTAATTTTGCATTTCCTGAGTGAGTTGCATGAAAAGATGGACCCCCTCTTTCAACTTGCCAGGGTCCAAATGGTGACATTACAAGTTAGAAGTACGTTTAAAAGACACATCACAGGAAAAGAAAGGGAGCTGGAGGCATGGGGTCAGGGGCACTCTTAAAACGAATCCCAGAAAAGGGCTAACAGGTTGATCATGGAGAAGGGAGGGAAGAGAACTACTCACTCTGGGTGTGGCTGCACCTCAGGCCAACTGCAGCCCACCCGCCCTCGCTCTAATCCACCCGACCATCCATCCCCGCCCGCAGCTATCTGCTCTGAGCAGGCGCTAGTTCACACCCGCCGGCCGTCTCCAGACGCGCGCCAGCCGCCCGAGGGGGCGTTCTCAGCGCACGTGAACCCGCTACCCACGCGAACCTGCACCTGTTAACCCCTTACCACCTGTTGACTTGCCCTCTCTGCACTTCCATTTAATTATCTGCTAAACACAGCTTGTTTACTTTACAAAGAGAACCGAGAGGGCGGACTGGGATTTCAAGTAAGAGAGAAATAAAAGTTGGACGCTCTCGCTCCATCTAGCATCCTCGCGTTTCCCAAAGGAAAAGCGTATCCGGGAGAAGCCTGACCTCTCAGCCTCTGAGGACGAGAAGAGTGAAATATCGGAACAGGAGGAAAGCCAGGGCAACTTACTTTCCTCAAGCTCACCAAAGGGATAAGAACCTCCTCCACCTGCGAGGCTTGACACAGCGGGTCCTCACTGCAGCCCCCTCCCCCCACCCCACCCCCGCCCCCAGGCGTCCACAATGACTCCTCTCCCACCAGGTTTTCTCCAGGATTTCCAAAGCTGCCAGTTTAGATCCACAGGTACTTACCTGAGTCGCTCCGCTCCTCAGAACTCCGATTCCCCACCCCACCCCCCTCTTTAAAAACAAATTTAAACAATTTCCAAATATTATTTAAATGGGAAGAGGGAGGATAAGGAGCGGACAGGAAGGGCGGAGGCGGTACCAGGAGAGGGATTGTCCCCAGAGGAGGCTGCTGTCAGCACAACCCGGCAAGGAGAGGCTGGGGGCGTGGGAGGCGAACCCGCGAACTGTCGTCGAATTGCCACTCCTCGTCCCCCGCACGGGAGGATCCGAGAGAAAGAGACAGAGGGTGGGAGGGGAAGGCGGGGAGAGAGCGCGAAGGATGCTAAGGGCAAGGCTCGGTCCCCGGGTCTGCTCTAAGACCAGCACACACCTCACCCCGCGTCGCCGCGCTCGGTCGCTCGCCCCCTCTCGGGTCCCCTTCCCGTCGTCGTGGTCCTCCTCCTCCCCTTCCTCCTCCTCCCGCTCCTCCGCTCGCCGCCCCCGCAGCTGATTTGTCAGCGCCTCTCCCCGCCCCTCGCCCGGCGCTCGCTGCTTTCCCTGCCGCGTGCACTTCACTCCTCTTCTCGGATGGGGAGGGGGTGGGGAGAAGGCTGTACCTCCAACTCCAGCCGCCCGCCTGGTCCTGGGAGGCGGGAAATGGGGTGTCTTGCGCTTCACTGCAAGTTCAGGGTCACGGGGACTCTTGCGGGGATCGGGAGCGGTTAGGCTTGGGCTGATGGCTCTCTCTTTCCCATCCCCCCTCCTTCCCTGTCTCCGCCTTTCCCTCTGGTTCCTCACGGGGACCCCCACGTCAGAGCCAACCTGGGGGAGTGGGGGCCTGAGGGATGGACCGCCAAAGATAGAGCCAGTCTCTCGGGGAGCTGCTGAAGACGGCAGGCAGCTCAGGAAGGATGCTCACATCGGCATCGCCAAGAGCACGTTTCCCTCGGATCGCTGAAATTTGATTAATGGTCGTAGGAGACAACGTTAAAGGTGCTTTTGTTTAAATATCTGCCAGATTTTCGTTTGCTCTTAACCTCTCATGATCCCGACGGGGTCCCGCGGGTGGGGAGGAGAGTAGCAAGGATGAGTTACAGGTTGAGAAGGCAGGAGGAGGCTCGTCAAATCCTCTTCCCACCCCACTATCACCATTTTCTTTTCCACCAATCAGCGGCTGCCAGACGGCGATTTTTCCCATCAGCGGAACAAGGAATAAATATTCCCCAGCCGTCGAAACCAAGCAGCTATATACAGCTTTTCCTTCTCGAAACGGAATTTACTTTTCATATTCAAGTGCCTGGATGGAGGAGACAAATCCAGCGTGGTTTATTTTCCCGAACCGTCATATCCAATTCCTTCTTCCATCCCTTTTGAAAGGGAGATTCTACACACCGCTCACCTTTCTGACTTCTGATTCACGTTGCCCTCGGAGCTGACACCTAACCCCATCCCACACACAGACATACGGGCAAACGCGCGCGCGGGCTTCAAGAAAATTTTTGCATTGCTTAACATATTTTCACCTCTTTCAGAGCTGGAGGGAAAACAGCTGTTCCTGGATCACACCAGAATGGAGAACCAAGCTCCTCCCTCTAACAGAATGCCTTTGCTTTCTTTGCCTGGATTGGGAGGATGATTTTAGCCCTGGAAGGGAAAAACAAGTCTTTGCTGTATGTTTTCATTTGTTTTGTGTTTATTTTTCTTAGGAAAAAAAATGTTGTCCCTGATCCTTGCACTCACTTGGGTTCTGAAATTTGAGTAAAATGCAATTTAAATCTACAAAACCGTTTGAAACCAAAAGGGGCAGAAAGCAACTGTCTATATTGCTTAACAACTCCTTGCACTATTGTCTGCCCTTTTTACAAGTAGCCTTTCCAAAATGCTCAGACTGTATTTTGTTTCCTTGGGATCAGAGGAAGAAGGTTAAACTGGGAGCTGGTTTGCTGTCTGGCTTTGAGACCTTGAACAAGTTATGTCCTCCTGTTCCGTTTTCTTTGTAAAAGGAGAGGAACCAAGATGACCCCTCTCTGTTCAACTTTTTATTATGGAAAATGTTCAAACATATCCAAAAGTAGAGAGTAAAGGACTCTCATGTGAATGTCACTTAACATCCATGATTTTTTAATGTATGGCTGATCATGTCTTATCTATATGCCCACCCATTCCCCATTTCTTATCACTGCCCTCTCTCCATTCTTTTTCACTAAATCCCAAGAACTACATATATCTTTTCATCTGCAAATATTTAGGCATGCATCCGTAAAACATAAGAACTATTTTAAAATAATGACAATAACTTTTAGATGGTCCTTTTAAAAATTGAAATATAATTTATGTATAGTAAAATACTTAGATCATAAGTGTTCTTTTAAACGAGTTTTGAAAAATCCGTGCAACAGTGTAACCCACACCATTCTGAAGATCTAGAACGTTTTCATCATCCCTGAAAGTTCCCTTGTGCTGTCGTAGTTGTGCATATTCTAGAATTTCATAAAAATGGAATCATATAGTATGAACTTTTCTCGTATCTGTCTGGCTTCTTTCACTCAGCATAATATTTGTGAAGTTCATTCATGTTGCTGCATGTATCAGTAGTTTGTTTCTTTTTATTGCTACTAATAACAAATGTTTTCCTCTGTGACCCGTCACAAATATGTACCTTGATAGATTATTATGACAATTATTTAATTATTTCATGTAACATATTTATAGTTTAACAGAGACCTTCTTGAGACCTAGTGCTTTAAATCAAAGGGGCAAATAAAAGGACAGATATTTTAAGCCCCACTGCAGACCAAAGAGAGACTTATTTTGAAGCGGTTGTTACTTTTTGTGCTTCTTATAGCATTGCACAATTCCACACCTTTACGCTTGGTAAAGGACTAATGTACTATACCATTTAATCACAACAAGTGGGTAAGATAAGTTTTATTAGGTATCTTTTATAGACAGGGAATCTGAGGCTCAAAGAATTTTGATAACAGCTCTTGAGTGGCAGAGCTGAGATAATCTAGCAGGAACTGTTCCAAAAGGCACAATTGTCTTCTGAATTGGCGGTTACTCTCTGGAACCTTACTGATTGGGTGTAGTATAGGATGAGAGGGAAAAAGTGGGACCCAGTTGTATTAGAAATAGTTTTCGAATTTGGATGTGACAATGAAAATGAAGAATTTATGTTATTATAAAACAGTACATTCATATTTGAAATTTTGCCTTTTCTATATTGGTAATTCTCAGTAGGGGAAGATGATTTCTCACCATCCAAAAAAAAAGAAAGAATTGTGAAACAACTTTTGTCATTTTGAATTATAATTCTGTTTTACTCTTCTTTTCACACCTCAAAGTGCCTTGCACACAACAAGCATTCAATAAACTTTTAATTACTGATAGTATTAATAGCAACATTTCTTATGTTCTACCTGCAGTTTCTTAGCTCTGTATTCTTAAGGAGACAGAACTACTCAAGAACAAAGAAGGGAATTGGAAGTTAATAAATATTTTTTTTCTTGTCATCATTGATTGACAGCATGGCCTTGAGTACAGTTTTAATCCTCTGAATATGACTTTGAAGTTTAATCTCATTGAATGGCCTGTACCTCACGAGGAGGATGGAAGAATAACTTACTGGGAAGTATTACTGATGTTCACATTTTGTTAATAATTGCTATATACATGTTTGGTTTTCATTTTGATAAATGAAATATACATATTTTGCTGCTCTTCAATACTATCGTTTTATCTGGGTTTAAAATAGTAATTTAGCTATAGATTAACATTCTATGAAATGCATGATTAACATTCTATGAAATGCGTCTTTGTCTTTCTTCTCCGTAAAATAATTGATTTTTGACGCGTGCCATGCGGTAAGCTTCTGCTGCAGAACGGAATGGTGTGAAAAATAATGAAGCTGTCCATGACCAAGTGATTTAAGAGAGGGGAAGAACTGATTTAATGTGTTTAAGTGAGGAAAATACAATCTTTACTATCTTTGGATAATATTCCGTATTCGTTGTGAACACAAGGGGCAATGTTGATTCTTGGGCCACCTGTTTCTTGTTCTCTATCTGAACCTTCCTCTCATCTTCTGCAAATGTATGAGAAACATGCGGTAGAGAGATCTTCGTAGGCTTCTCTTGTACTTTCATAATGGACACAGAAGGGAAAGCTTAATGCACAGTTGGGATAGCATTGTGTATGATTTTGGAAAGCAGTTAAGCTTGAAACAGGGCAATAGGGTTACCCCAAAGAGAAATGAAGAGCAATGAAGAGGGAGTATTGTTTTCAAAGAATATTCTCTAATTTGACCCTATGGGCACTTCATATTGTTTCTACAATACTATAGGCAGAAAAAATAATAGACATTTATTCCAGCACAAAGTAATTTATCATATTTACTAATACTGTAGTATAGTCTCAACAATGTAGAATGACTATATATTGTGACTACAAGAAGTATGTAATGTGAAATATGTGAAATTCAATTGGATATCATTTTAAATATCCCTGTGGTTTTTGTGGTACTAAGAATATGAAGATAATGCAAGATTCCAAGGTGAAAGACTTTAAAGCCAGATACAAAAGATATTTAAATGTTTTAGGATCTAAAACATTCAAATGACTTTAGTATTAGAAGGAAAAACATATTTACGAGCTCAAAAAATGCACTAAACCCTGGTGAGCGTGGGAGACTTCTGAGAGTTGGGGTACTGGGTAGAAGTTAAATGCAGGGACTTAACAAGGCTCTACTACTTGGTAGCAGTTACTGAGAGCAAGCATCCAACCTCTCTAATCTCTAGTCTTCTCATCTATAAAATGGGGGTGATATTTTATTTGTATTGTGTGGTTGTTGTAAGGAATAAATAATATGGTTCTTAGTAAAGAACCAAGCACAGTGGAATCTCTCAATACAAGTACCCATTATTAATATCTAGCCCCCATGTTTTAGGGTGCCCTAGGAAACACTTTTTTCCTTACAGTAGTTTTAAACATTATTCCCAGCCCTCAACAACCTCCCGTCCCACTGTTAACACACCTCTAGTATCCGATGCCTCCCCATCAATAACTTTAGCTTACTATGCTAAGTAAAAAATTTCCAACCAGGGATGGAAGTTGTGGGGACACAGGATGGGGGTAGTTAGGGAGTGTTGATAGGGGTCGTTCATTTAAAAATCTGCCAATGTCTCTTTTCTCTCCTTAATGTGTGGATTGCAATAACAACATCACTCACAGCAATTTGCTTCAGCAGGTGAAGAAATATAGTAATAGTGATAGAATTAACATTTCACTATCTTTACTGACAGTTTTACATTCTTTGGACGTGGTTTCTTCAAAGTGGCGGTAGTGGAGCTATGTATGAGTTATGTTGATTTGCCAAGGGAGAAAAATTAAATGATACAACAAATGGTGTTCCAAGTTTACCAGACTTGTTGTGACAGCAGCTTTGAAAGGCTTCAGAACGAATATCCAATTTAGAGATAAACTCAGCCTCTAATCTTCCAGGTGAGTGAAGAATG